AGAACAAGACTCACTTATGCAACACCAATACATGGTTAACATGTAAACTGACTCAGATAGAATATAGGAAGCAAAATCAGAGTCCCACATGCTATAAAAAAGTTTCCTGTTTGTTTGGTAGAGTGTGTTGTGTCTCTTAAAAACAGCCTAACAATAAAGTTTGAACAGTGAGTTCTATTAACATCTCTTCTAATCAACAGTTCTTTCTAAAGAGCTCCTGCTTCCCTTTTACTTCCGGTATCCCTTATACTGCTGGAAACTCCAGTACAAACAGACTATACTATTACAAGGAGAATGGTGATGTTAATAGATATAGAGAAAGCTTTGAAAGAAAGGAAAGTTATATTCTGGACATATTGACTTTGAGATTGCCATAAGACATCTAAATCAAATATATGACAGGCATCTGGAAACATGGGACTAAAATTTTGGTAGCAGAATATAAGCCCTAAACAGCTTGGGACTAGGTATTTAAAAGAGTGCCTTCTTCCTTACCAACCTGCTTAGTCACTGAAATCACTGGCAGCTCCACATGGAGCTATGACCTGATTGGAATCCATCCAGAGAAGAACCTTCAGTGCAGTGGCTCCATTCTCTGGACTGCCTGCCTCTGAAGGTCAGGCAGATACCACTGTACTGTTTTTGATGTGCCCTGAATACATCACTATTTCCACAAGCCTCCCAGAGCTACCTGCTCATGTTTTTAAATTCTGTTTTACCATATTTTATTATTATTCTTTTTATCAATTTTATCTTTTTATTGTTCATCACTGGAATTTCCACAGTGGAATAGGGAGTGGCATATAAGCACTGCAAATAACCAACTAGATAGGTTTGGGGTACAAATTTGGGATGAGATATCCAAATCTAAATAAGTAAGTATATGAGTTCTGCTTTTGCTAGTGGCTTGTGTAATCTTTGTATTTTTTCTATGTGTAGATTTGCCTCCATAATCTTTGCCATTTCTTTATGGGCTGCTATATAGCCTTAAATGTAAGTAAGGAAATAATATGATTGGAGATGCTAAATCCACCTTTGCCCCTTTTCTTGATAACAAATGCACCAGCCACTCTTTGATTACATCAATGGCAGCTGTAGAGGTACAGTGCCTGGAGAAATGTGCTCAGTGAGTCATTTTCTGATATTCTGAAACCTTGCCAGAGCCATATATTTATTACCATCTTTGTTATTTGATTTGCTATTCAATGTGCTTCATCACAAGTCATGTTCAAATCTGAAGAGATAAGATCTTAGATACGCACACTATTTTTTTTTACGACAGCTTGTTTTGCCATCTTTGGCCGTTGCACCTGTTTCAACTATCACTGTGGTAGAAAAAGATTCATCTACTTATAGTTGCAGTTGGCTTTGCAGGGAGAGGAGGGATCCAATTTCCTAGAGCAGAAATTCAATTTTTCTCTTTTCAGGTTGGAATGATTACATCATGGGACCTTCCCCCACATGTTCATCAGTGATTCCTGAAACTACTGAAAGTACCTCACACAGAACTGTTTGCTGTCATTTTGGTTCCATTGCGGTTTCAGAGGTAGTCTGCTTGAGCAGTCAGCTATTTCTAGTGGCCAATCCCAGCCTACCAGGCCCTATAAAGCTTTAACTATGGAGCCTACTCTTCAGTCTGAATATCTTCTTTCTGGTGTGAGGACACTGCCCAAATACCTCTCAGTTCTTAACTGATACTGTGGATCTTAATCTACTGTGCCATTCAGTTCTCCTAATACTCTGATGCTGCCTTGGGTTTAGTCTGGTTTTGACTGTAAACCTGTCCCTAGCTCCTCCGATTCTTTTCCTGAACTGGAATTTAACTCTTGTGGCTGGCACCTTCAGTCATAAGAACCTAAGAAAAGCCATGGTGTATCAGGCCAAAGGTCCATCTAGTCCAGCATGCTGTACACAAGGTGGCAAAACAGCTGCCCTGAGGATTGTTCAAGCAGAATGGGTACAAGACCTCCACCTGCCCAACTCCTCAACAACTGATGTAAGCAGGCATACCACCTCTAGGGAAGGAGGTAGCACATAGCCAGGAAGGCTAGTAGCCACTGATAGCTTCATCCTACAAGAATATGTTTAATATCCTTTTAAAGCCATCCGACTTGGTGGACATCACTACTTCCCATGGCAGCAAATTCCACAGTCTTTGCATGTTGTGCTGGAACTTAACTCCAGTCTGATTAGAACCACACACCTGCCTCTGGTCCACCTGGCCTGACAGTGAGCTTCCCTCAAGCCCTGGAACTCAGTTGCTTGCTCTTTGCTGTTACTATGTGGTATTTATGTATGCTGCAATACCCATTTCTGTACTGATTTAGAAGCCAAGATAATGTTCGTGCATTTGGAAAGGATACACTAGAAAAAACAAGTACCCTATAACACACTGTCAAGTATTCAACAAGACCTCAGGAAATGCAGAATGGCAAACAGCCAGCTATGCACTGCAGCATGTCTTACCACACAATGCTATGCACATTCACTCAGACGGAAATCCAAATATGTTCAATAGAGTTTTCTTCCAGGGACCCATAACTGCAGCCTTAGTATGCATGATGTCCGGGCATTTATTTGCCTTGGAACTGGACTGCCATTAATTCAAGACTACACTGTCTCAACAATTGAATTTCTAGATCAGGAATGTGCAATGCCCCCATGCCCTTCCATACCCCCTGTATTCTGCCACAAAACCAGAAAATAATACACTAAATGTTGGCTTGCTGCCAGTATTTGGGAGTGTGACAAAAAAATCCCATTTAGTGGTTTTCACAATGCTGATGAAATTTGGTGACAAACTGCTGTTTTTTCCTGCTCCTTCTATTGCACTGGAGGAAGTTGCCAGCTCTGTTCAAGAGAATCTGGAAATGACAGCTCCAGCAATGCACATTTCAACGCATCCCCAAAAGGCAAAATAGAGACAATAATTTATTAGTGACAGATCTGCCCCAAACAGAGATTCTTCTCAGTAAGCATAAGCAGCTAGAGCACATGGTTCTTTTCAGTTCAATGAGGCTTACTTCCAAGTAACTACTGCTAAACACTTACTTTTTCCCCTCATAGATCAATGTTAGATGTTATTCACTGCTTCTGTGTGCAGTGTCATGTGGACTGCATTATGAGCCATTTAGTTTTGCTGAGAGACATACTGTTGGCAGGATCTGCTATGTGCACTTTCAACTTTTTTCCTGTAAATACTGCACTTGAGTGGAAAAATTCTATCAGCCTATAGCTGATAGAATTATCCAATAGTGAAGTCTTCTCATGGGAAAAGATATGTGGAAGGATAAATTTAAATGCCTTCTAGTTCTGCCCCTTGACCCAAGAAATGCCCTATCACATTCACATTTTTCATGATATTAATCTAAAACCTCTTAGCTGACCTAGCGGTGGCAATTACATTCCCTACCAGGCAATTGATTAAGATAGCCTATAGGAATAACCAAATTACAGTGTATAGCAGACGGATCTTGGTCATAACCTGCTATGAGGACTAAGACAGATTTTTTTTTTAATGCAACTATACTTTCCGAAGAAAACAGTACATTGGGCACTGAACATGAGAGCTGGGCAGATGGTTGCCCTATAATGGAACCAAATTAGATATGATGCAAGAGATCCATCAACAGGATCTCACTAAAAAAAAAAAAAAAAAAATTAAAGCATCAAAGCATGGGCCTCCCAATCTAAACTGGGCTGACACACTGACGGTGAGTGCCCCTTTTTCTAATGGAAGTAATTCTTCTCAATTTGCCCCACATGGCAAAACATGCAGATAACATAGGCTAACTTCCAGAGTAGTGTTATTCTCTTGCAGAAAAAGCACAAACTTAAAGACTACTTCAGTTTTGTGGAGTAGAGGCCACTTTATCAAATCTGCAGTGTTATCTTCAGTAGACAGGTATAAAGTGCATGGTAAACAACAGCTTTTTTTTAACTGTTACATGAAATGCAAAAATGCCATCCGTTACCATTATCCTGAAGCGTAATATGGCAGGTTTCAAAAATGGCTATTTTAACTGGGAGTGGGGAACAGTGCAGGAGAAAGAGTTATTCCCTCCTGAATCACTGCCCTGCGCTAACTTAGGCTTCCCCACAGCTGATCTGATGTTTAAAGAAAGCCCTTGGAAGGTCACATGTACTGTAGCCTTCAGTAGCATTTTGAGCTCAACGTCTCACGCTTTCCTTGAAATGGGTGGACTTAAGGAAGCCCGACACCGTACAGGATCACAGCCTACTACAAGGTATTATACAGTTGGTAACGTATTAATGTCTTCCATGACTGTGTACAACATATGATCATAATTAAGTCTGAAAATTGAAAGGCACCAGAGCTTATGTTTTGGCTGCACGCACATAACTGTAATCGGCCCCAGGTACTCTTGGCATGTACAGGTAAGTCTGTTTAGGATGATGGCTATCACATTATTTTTTTTAGTTGGCCTGTGGGAAATGTTAGAAAATCCCGATGCCAATGAACTGCAAAGCCAGCCAAAGGTGCTGCCAGAGGAGACTTTTATGTACGATTGTTTTGCTTCGTTTACTTCGAGGGGAGGGAGATACTCCCTACAAGCAACTGGGAAGTCTGTCAGAGGAGGCGTGTGTGCTGGTGTGTTCATGAGTGAGGACAGCCTAAATATGTGCATGTGTCTTTTGTGCTTGTTTGAATGACAGGAACACAGTGTTACGTGTGGGCAGAGGAGTGCGAGGGCTGGCGGCCGTGAGGGGACGAGAGAGCAGGAGCGCGTTTGGGTGGTGGGGGAGACCCCTGTGGACGCAGACGCGCGTCGTCTCCCTGCGAGGGGAAGTCCTGCGCGAGCGGGGAAGCCTCGCCGCGCACAGGAAGCCCGGCTGCGGGCTCGTGTTTTCTCACGCTTCTGCGCGACGAGGCGGCGGCAGAGAAGATCCACCTCGCCCCCCGCCCTAACTCCGCCCCTTCGCCTCCACTCGGTCGCCGCCGGGCTCTGCCACATCGTCGTCGTCGACGTCGTCGTCTTCTTCCTGCCGCTAGCGGCCGCCACAGTCGGAACTGCCCCAGCATCGCGGCTTGAGCCCAGCACCGGGCTGTCCTTCCGACCCGCGGACCCGGCGGCGCGGCCTTCCGAGCGCCAGGAAATGGAGCTCCGTGGCCCGTACCTGTGCTGCAGCTGCTACGGCTGCTCGCCAGGGCGCCCGTCCTGCCAAGGCCGCAGAAGCCGAGCCCGCGAGTTTCTGGCCGCTGCCGTTTTTTAACCGCCGGGTGGAGGAGGAAGGTCTCTGCCGGCGGCGCCCGGGGAGGGGGAGGCTCGCGTGCTTCAGCTTCGCCTCTCCCGTCGCTTCTTCTTAAGTTGCTTTGCTTGGCGGCGGCGCCGGCGGTGCCGGCGATGAGCAAGCGGCCGCCTCTTGCGCCTGCGAAGCGGGGAAGCAGGCGAAGCTCTCGCTCGACCTCCGCCGGCCGTCGGCGCTTCCTCCTTCTCTCCTTGTTGTTCTGGTCGCCTTAAACGCCGGGCGATGTGGGGCCCCGGAGCCGCCGCGTTGCAGCTGCTCTCGCGGGCCACCAAACACGCCTTCGCCCAGGACGCCCGGCAGGACCTAAGCCGCTGGCTGCCTCGGCTTGGCGCGGCGGCAGGCGAGGCGGCGGGGAGAGGAGGCGGCGGCGGCGGCGGCGGCGGCGGCGGCGCGGAGGAGCTGCTCTTCGGCGAACAGAACGGGCTGCATCACTACCCGCCGCCGCCTCATCAGGAACCGTCGGTAGAGATCCTGCTGTGTCAACTGCCCGAGGTGGGCCCCGGCTTGGCCGAGGGCAGGACGTGGCGCTGCTCGGGCTGCCTGCTGGGCACCTGCTGGTGCAAGAGTTGCCTGAGCGTTTGCTTGCTGGCCGCGCTCTGCTTCGCCTCGCTCGCCCTGGTGCGCCAGTATCTGCGGGACCTGATGCTCTGGGCGGAGAGTTTGGACAGCCTGGCCGGCGTGCTGCTCTTCACCGTGGGCTTTATCGTAGTGTCCTTTCCGTGCGGCTGGGGCTATATCCTGCTTAACGTGGCCGCGGGCTACCTCTATGGCTTCGTGCTGGGCATGGGCCTCATGGTACTCGGAGTCCTCATCGGCACCTTCATCTCCCATGTGGTGTGCAAGAAGCTGCTGGCCCGATGGGTGCTGGCCAGGATCCAGGGCAGTGAGAAGCTCAGCGCCGTCATCCGTGTGGTGGAGGGAGGAAGTGGCCTCAAGGTGGTCGCTCTGGCCAGGCTCACCCCTATACCCTTCGGGCTCCAAAACGCACTCTTCTCTGTAAGTAGCTCTTATCTGGAAGTATGGCTATGGGAGCATGATTACAGAAAGAGGCCTGCCGAGATTACCTTTGGTCTCCGGTGCCTAACTTGTGGAAGGATATAGAATGTGGGAGGAGAGGTGGAAGAGATCCAGTTTTGCTTCTAGCAAGTGTGCTAGCCAGGCTGATTCACATTAAAATTGTAGAGAGAGAGAATGCAAATAATGAAGAGGCATTACTTATGGAGTGGAAGCCACCCAGGCCTCAGGAGTGATTCAAAATAGTTTTTTTCTCCCATAGGAGTTCTTTGAAAAGTTTGCCATGCCAGTGTTTATTCATGGGAACTAAGTCAGCTGTGATCATCTAGGAAAGATCAGTAAAGACCAGATGTTGCATGCAAATGCATGTAATGGAGGTCCAACAGTTCTTTTTATTTAAGGGAGGTTTCTTGTGTAAGTCATTTGGAAATGGAAATATTCCACCTTAGCTTTTTTTATCCTATGAGTTTTTAACTTAAAAAAACCCTTGTGGATGAGGGGGAGCTATTTGAGAGCAATGCAGTTGTATTCACATTTACCTTGGAATAATTTCTAGTGAACACAATGTCTGGATTCAGATAACTCAGAGCTTGAGCATGGGTAGTTGTTAAACAATGGGTTGTCGTATCATTTGAATCCAGCTGCACTAATAACCCATAGCTTTTTAACCAAAACACCCATGAAGAGAATCCATTGTTCGTTGAGAATTTGGAAACCATGGTTTGCTATCTCAGCTGGTTTCAGACAACATGGTACCTCATGTTTCAGCATCAACCCACAGTTCAACAACCCATAGTTAGTCCTTTAGTGTGATTTATATTGAGACTTGGGAAACAGGCAAAGAAGGGGTTAAGCAATCTTATGCTGCTTCCTCTTAGATCATGATCACCACAACCACAGAAAGCAGTATTTTTAAAAAATCATCTTTCGTATTACCATTATGCATATTTGAGTGTGATACACTGGAGTAGGATTTTAAATTCCTGCTGGATTTTCCTAACAGCTTTTCTGAAAGCTACATGACTTTTAAAATTACACATAGCATTGAATTCTTCACAAATAACACAGAATAATTGTTATTATTAAAGTCTTGTATCAGAATTAACCCTTCATTTCTTCCCCCTATGTTAGAGGGAAATGAAGGCTAGTTCTCTCATTAGATTTGTGTAATATCAAAAATTCTGAGCACATAATTTCTGTAAATTTATGTCTACAACTCTGGAATGGAAAGGGTGAAACTTATTTCACCTTATTTCACTTAACATGAAAACTTATTAATATTTTCATGAGAATATCTGAGGAACATTTGAATTGGTGTATATTTGGCACATTAAAAGTTTTAACAATGGAATCCAATGCATGAGTACTCTGCAAGTGACTGACTTCAAAAACTAGTTGGGAATTGAGAATCTGACAACTCATTTCTGAGTTCAGATTATTTAGTGGTAAGTGTGCGTAGACTTGCTTATGTAATTTGAAGTTAACCACAGTATTGTTGAACTTACCTTCTCAGTAAGTAAACTTACCTTATCCTTATTCTGTGATGCCTTCTGATGGCTCTCAAGAGACTGAGAGTCTTGTGGTAACTGTAAACAGCTCTTGTGAAGCTGGGAGATCATTTGAATGACCAAACTGTGTGGGCAGGAGCCATTTACCTGTTATCTCCAAGGTATCCACTCATGTACACGGGGCTCAGTCATTTAAATATTATGTCAGCCTTCCTGCACCTGTTTATAGATAAACAGTTTCCACTAGACTGGGAGACTGCCTAAAGCCAGCTTCCCCAACCTGAAGAGCACCAGGTTTGGGAAGGCTGGCCTAAAGGCTAGATGTGACTTGCTACTTAAAATGTATGATGCTCCTGTAAATTGTCATTCTGCAGTTTTGGAGCAGTTGCAAAACAGTGGGAAAAAGGAAGGGTAAGCAACTACAATACATCATAAAAGAGTATGAACATCAGTACTGTGCATACCAAAGGATGAGAGTATCTTGTTGGTATGCTTAAGAGATAACAATAAAATTTGGTAGTCATGTAGAAGAAAGAGTAAGCGTAGGGAAGGGTATTAAATCATATCTGCAGCATAATTGTGGAAAATAATATTCTAAAAGGACTGCTTGGAGATATGGTACTTTGGAAGATGTTTTTGCATTATTATCTTGGTTTTTATTGTTATCTTTTGAGTATCCATGTGATACTTTTTGACATAATATTACATATGTATTTATGGTCTACCTAGCTTGTCTTAAACTTTTTTTTAATTTAATCATTACAAACCTTCTGCTTTGTAGATATATCCAAGCAACTCTGAATTAAATAAGTATATTATTAGTCTGGGGACTGCGGGTGGCACAGTGGTTTAAACTGCTGAGCTGCTGGGCTGGTTGATTGAAAGGTCGACAGTTCAAATCCACAGACGGAATGAGCTCCCGTGCTTTCCCCTAGCTCCTGCCAACCTTGCAGTTTGAAAGCATATAGATGCAAGTAGATAAATAGGTACCACTTAGATGGGAAGGTAACAGTGTTCTCTTCTGTGCACCTTGGTATTTAGTCATGCTGGCCACATGACCACAGAAACTGTGGGCAAATGCTCCCTCGGCTAGGAAATGGAGATGAGCACTGCTCCAAAGAGTCAGTCATGACTGGACTTTAATGTCATGGGGGAACCTTTACCTTTTACCATTTATACTTCGTCTGTATGGAAAATATACAATGTGTCATGTTGGCAGTTTAGGCCTAATATATTCTACTGCTTGTTCATATAGTTAGAGGTTTGTGTGTGGGGCTGTCAGGAAACCAACAAAACTTATAAGTAGTTTTTAAAACAGTTAAAGAATAGCTGACTTAAAGACAAGTGTCATGGGATGCCACATGTTTTTCAAGTTCTTAATGTGAATAAACTGATATGACATGACAGAGTAAATATTTGAATAGTTCTGGAATATTTTTACTGAAACAAACAGGTAACACAATTTATTTTGAATTTGGTATGACAGAGGTTAGTTGTATTACCTGATTTCAGTTACCGTAAAAACAGGGAAAACTTGGTAGTTATGCCTTACTTCTCTACTGCTTACAAAAGTTGTTTGTGTTTGAGCTCAAGTGGTTACTTTAAAAACAAGAACCACAATCTGTCATGGCAAACTGCCTAAAAGAGCAGAAGTTTTCTCAAGGTGCAGGAAAGGGTGGTCTTTCATATTTGGTTAATATAATCTGCTAAAATATAGGTAATCTCCATGAAGTCTTTCAGAAAAGATTGCATGTTCATATAACAAGGTCCTAAACTTAATTACTTGAAAGCAATTCTCAGTGAGTTTAGTGGGTTGTTACTCCATAGTAAGTGAGTTTGGAATTGTAGCTTTGCTTGAGATTCATGTTCGTGAAAGGTAGACATCTTAAGTACTTTGAATTTAGACCCTTTTATTGCCTTTAGGCTGTTCTGGCTGTTCTGCAATGCAGTTTGCCGAACTGCACAATTTGAGGGCCACTGACTCTTTTCTATGCAGTAAAAAGTAAAGTGTAGGGGAAGACCTCATACTGACAGTTAAGTGTCAGATTCTGGATGTACACATCCAGTTATAAAATGCAGGAAATGGGATTATGTTGAAAGTACCAGGATTGATTGGTTTAAATCATTAATTTAAAACAAGATTCCAGTTGTATACCCCACACTGTTAAGTGGGCATACATTTTAAACATTGGTTTGCAACTAAATGGTGATGATGTTATAAGGATCATAACCTGACGCCTTTGATCATGCAGCCTGCATGCCATATGCTCTGTGGAAATATATATGCTGAAGGGGGGTGTTGATAGTGCAGTTGTGAAATTAATTGATTTTTGCTGGGTTCTTTCTACAGGGCAAGGTCCCTGAGCAAGATTACTTTCTTGAAGACTTAACAGCACCATTCTTTGTAGGTTTATATAGAAATAGGTCACACTGTATTCAGGGGGGTTTGCTCCCAAGTAATTGTGCATATGATTGAAGCCTAAGGATGTAGTCAAATGCACAATTAAGTGGGAGTAAATCTCATTAAGACTTTGAGAATTATTTCCAAATAAATATGCAGAGGATTGCAATGCATGTAACTCGAACTTTGTAGAAAGGCTGGTAGTTATTAGGTAGAGCAGAGTTTTGCCGTACAAAGGCAACTTCTGGTTTGGTTGCTGTTTTAAATATTCATCACTTGAAATGAATTTTTGGCAGAGCCCAGATCGTTGCAGAGCATAAAAAACAACCCACCCCAGTGGGGGCAATGGATGATTATGATGAGATACTGTATGGTGTTTCCTGGCAGCTAGTGGTTCTGATGACTTGACAGTTGTAGGTCTAGTAGGAAGGCTGTAGCAATCAATAGAATCTGTGGTGTGTTTTAATGCTTGACCTGAAAAGCACTGGATTTTTCTCCTCTTTGTCTTGTATATTAAACAATGGCCTCTAAGATTGTTTGTCTGACAGAAGGGTGAGGCTTTAGCTTACAGTCCTATAGCCACATACCTGAGAGTAAGTGCATTGAAGGCTTCTGTGTAAACCTACATAGGATTTGGTTTTCATTGACTTCATTTTAAATAATACTAGTTTAAAATAAGATACACTATAATTGAAGTGTAAAACATCCTGATACCAACAAGCCTTCACTTCAATTAAACATCATCTCAATTTGTAAAAAGCTATTATTTAAACGCAGGCATATTATTTATCCACCTAGCAGAAAAGACATAGTCTTGAAAGTAACACTTCACTGCATTTGTGTGATTTTTAGTATTTATATGCTTTATCATGGGAATTTGATTCATATTCTCATTTTTTCTTCCAATTTGGTAGTTACTGTTTGTGGTTTCAAATAAGAAAACATTGCACTACGCACAAGAAAAAGGTGGTCCAGCAAGCCAGTTCAGAGGTTATATTGGCTTATGCACTGTGCTACAGCTGCCTGGCAGTACAAGAAGAGAATACAACACGACTGGGACATAATTGCCAGCA